TTTTTAGGGAACCCAATCGCCAAATCCTGGGTGTGGAGAATCATCAACCAACACCCTTTTTAGTTCGGGCACAGAGCAACAAGAATTAAGAACCTCTATTAATCCACCAAACACCCCAGATGACAGGCAATTTACAAAGAAAGAATTACTGCAACTCGTCAAAACACTCAACAATGCGAAGGCACCTGTCCCAGATGGGATATCAAATCAAGTTTTGAAGATAATCTGTAAAGTCAGCTCAGAAATACTTCTAAAACTTTACAATAAATGCCTGAAATACAACCACTCACCGGACTGCTTCAAGCACGGACAAATCAACCTGTTCTCGAAGAAAAACAAAAAACCAGAGGCAATAAATCTACTACCAGCCATGGGAAAGCTTCTTGAACGTCTTTTGGTCAATAGAATAAAATACCATATATATATAAATAATAGAATAAGTACTAACCAGTATGGATTTAAACCCAAAAGCTCAACCACTCACGCAATAGATATAGCAATCTCCCAAATATAAGCAATCAAATGCACTCGGCTCTCCTAGGCCCTCAGGGAGATGCAGTGCCCAAAAAAACCTGTACGTTATGATTACGGACTATTTCAAGAACAGACAAAGCGTACTAACCTACGACAATACCATAATCGCCAGAAAACAAACTAGATAATGTCCCCAAGGGTAGTGTATGAGCGCGGACCTCTGGAACATCACCTTTAATAATATTATCGATCATCATTGACCAAATCACACACGGATCGTAGCCTTCGCCGACGATGTTGCCTTCATAATCCAAGGATCTGCACGAAGACAACTAGAGGAAAACTACAACACCACCACCACCCTAATATATTCAACAACCTTTGTCACAGAATAAAACTCCAAATATCGCACATCAAATCGCACGCACTTATAATACACAAGCCAGGACAAACAATAACCAGAAACCCCACGCTGCGAATTGGAGACAATAAAATAAAATGTGTGAAGATCATTAAGTAGTTAGGGCTCACTATAGATCAGAAATTCAATTGAATACCGCATCTCCGAAAAAAAAGAAAAAAAAAACTAACCACTGCCAAAATCGCAAAAGCATTAAGGGCAATGAAAGGATATTCCTGGGGTAATAATTCTATTAAAGACAGTAGTCAATAAAATAATCACCTACGGAGCTGCTATCTGGGCCTTGCCCATGACAGCGAGAAAAATTCTGACTCTTAATTCAACGACCTTTCTTGATCAATATTACCCGATCATTTTCAACAACCTCCACCAACGCACTGCAAACAATAGCCGGGGTGAACCCACTACCAATTCAAACAGAAATCGACGCACTGTCTACAATGATCCTCAAGAAAACTTCAACGCACAACTTCACTCAAGAAAACTTCCACGTACAACTGCGTAATTTTCAATCCACAAGACTATGAAGAAAAAACACCGAAATATAACAGACATCCCGCTCTGGGTCTTCACAATCTCCGTTGCAACCTCGACAATCCACCTCCATGAACTGATTTTACTGCATACACAGATGGCTCAAAAATCGAAAATAAGGTAGAAAGCGGTGTCGCCAATAAAAACAAAAACAGGCCTCCACTCCGAATGTCAAGGTTACCTTCGGCCGAAAAACAGCGTATATCAAGCAGAGCTCATAGCCATACTAAATAGCATTATGCAACTTAGTGACTTAAAAACAGATACCATCCAAGTAATCATCGACCGTCAATCTTCTATACATGCCATCAAACAACAGCACACAAATTCTCCAATAGTCCGGCAAATTCAAGACATATAAGCACAAGTCATAAGAAATTTGTCCTGTTATGGACTAGACGGCACAACGCCTTGGAAGGCAATGAAAGGGCCGATTTTCTAGCAAAACAGGCAGCTCTAAAACAAACAGGATCTCAAATTCATATCCCATGACCTAAATTAGCATTAAAGTACAAACTAAAACAAATGGCGACGTCAATGGGAACAAGGACCACGAGGACGACGTACATTCCAACTGCTACCCAGGGCTGATGAAAATACCACAATATCAACCTACTTCCTCACCCTACTTCTCGGGTCACGGTCCCTTCCCCAAGTATTTTTATGATCGCAATATGGCTACATCGGATAGATGCATATGCGGGGAAAGCGGAGACCCTGAACATTACATGTTTCAGTGTCCGCTAACGTCAGCCCATCATATTCGCCATCCCACCGATACTGGAATAGAGTTTAGAAGATTCATTATTAAGCACCGTAAAGTTTTCCAAAACATCAGAAATATTATTGATTTCCTACACCGCCAAGGACTGGACCTGTGTCATCCATAACTTACAACCCAAAATAATCCTCTAAGTTAAACAAAAGCAAGAATAAGAATATCCACTATCACCCTCATACTACACAGGAGTGCCTTTAGAAAACACACTTAAAATATCTCCATTTTATTGAGACAATTATTGACTTGTCTCATACTACTCAAATTACTTCATACTATGCAATGTGTGACAGATACACCAGTACTACGTACTCAACACTATGTACCATGGAATGAATTCATAAACCGTATGCTGAACTATGGATGACTTTACAAACTGTGAACCGTGTAACACACACACACACAAAAAAAAAAAAAGAAAAGAAAAAAGAAAAAAAAAAAAAAAAACCCACGTACCATAATCACTTCCCCCCCCCGCCAACAAAGCTCCAAAACAAACACAAAAGAATATGCATATACATATGTTATTGTAACTATTGTATTTATCCATTTAACTACAAAGTACCCGTATAAAGTGTATCTTAGACAATATTGTCTGCAATGCAGATTATGCACCATTAATATAACTGTGTATTATGAATGCTGCAATGTAAACAAATGCTTGAGCATGGCTTTAGCGTGCCCCGTCAGGGTGCACTTCCATAAATGGTTAGTGCAGTGGGGCGATACCAGTTTTGCCCATGGCGATGTTTTGGTCCCCCTGTACTTCTGTTTGTCTGTCTGTAAAGGTATTAGGTATTTTTTGGAAGCCGGAGAGATGAAAAATAAGCAACGCCTTCGCCGGGAATCGAACCACAAACCTCTGGAATACGCGCCTAGCGTGCAGACCACCATGCCAAGAAGGTGGGAGGAATGCCTTATAAGTTGTAAACGTCAGTGACAAAGTGAAAATGAAAAAGAAAAGCGAAGTCATTTGGTTGGTTTTTGGTTTATTGAGATTACAGCAAAGCACACTAGGGCTATCTGCCTAAGGGAAGGGATGCCTTCGCGGAGGACTTTCTAAGGGAAACTGTCTCGTATACACGTTACACATGGGGAAAACCACAAAACACCCACTTCTGCGAGCCCACTCGCTGGATTCGAACCTCGGACCAAACTACCAGTGTTCAGCGACTTTACCGCTCGGCCGCCGAAGTGATATGGAGCATGTATTCTAGTGAGCAGTTTTAAATAACCCAGTAGTCCTCCAATCTCTGTGTTTTTGGAGACCCTAGTATTGGAATTATTGCAAACCACAACTAAGCGATTAAGAGAGAAGTGCTGCTGAACGTATCATACAAGAATTTTAAGGTATTTCCTTCATAAATCGTAATTCTGAAAACTCCTTCTGCCAGAAAAACGTAGGTCAGGAACTCCAAGGTTAAGAAAAGCCTTATTCTAAACTAAAAATGATTATTAGAAAAATAAAGTAAAACCCTAAAAATTTGATAAATCCCTGTATAAAGATTGATAAATGCCTGCATGCAATAAAATCTGAAAACTTATTTAATTAGATAAAGCACTCATTTTTTTTAGTCCAAAGGGATTTGAATCCCGAAGGACTATTAGTTTTGTTTTGGCATTTTGCGTCGGACGGATAAATGTCGGTTCACTTTTCAAACTGTTGCCATAAAATGTTAGAGTCCTGCATTATATTTGAAGAAATTAAATAATGAAAATCTGCGTAAATGTATGTATATTTCTCACATTGTCATAAAATAACGGTACATAGAGTCATCGAATTTTGAATAACGTAATCCTCCAACGAATATGAGCATGTGGAAGACCAAATTTGAAATTTGAAATTTGTTTTATGATCGATTTCCTATTTTTTAAAACTTTGACGAATTTTTGATTAACAAACTCAAGGATTTCAAAGCGAGCAATGGCAACGTTTGTGCAGAAAAAACATTTTTATCTCCAGCGCGTGAGTCTCTGTATCGGAAATTCTAAAGATATGCTCGTTTTAAAACTATTTTGCGATATTGCTGTTGCACTGGATCTTATGGTTTAAGTGCGAGGAACATGATATTTAATAAAGAAAGGTAACACACAAAATGTTAAAAAACGCCCCTTTGGACGTAATTTAAAATCTGAAACAGTTTCAGTTTTTTTTTTTTTTTTTTTTCTTTAAATCCTTTCCATTAGCATTTCTTTGCGTTGTTTCCCGTACATATCCTGAAACATATATCCTGTACATATCTTTTCTCTCCGACACTTCAAATTTATTTTCGTTGACAAAATGAAAAGTCGCCTACTTCTTAAAGATCACCATCAAGGCTCCTCTCCGAAGATTATCTCTACCCATTTACAAAAGTAAGTTTTCGTTAGTAGCTTATAATCCAGTTTAGAAGAAACGTTGAAGACGTAGAAGCTGGATATAATTTAACGCTCTGTACACGATTTGGAAACCTGATTTTATTGCGCTTTATGTAGGAACATTTCCCATTTCTTTAAGCAGTGTTATATGTAGCTACGATTCTTTATGGATAAATGCTTATATTCTGATTTCAGTCCACATTCTTTTCGATAAAAGCTTCCTAACTTCACCAATAAGAATATTAATTTCCCATATTTTTTGCATTAACTTTTATGCAATCGTATCGAGGAAATGCAACTGTTAACCTTAAAGAAACACGTGAGTTTTACGAAATTTCAATTTCAACTTTAATGCACGCGTTTCAAAATGAATGTACAGTAATATATTTTCAAACTGTGTCCGAAAGGTAAACAAATCTAAAGCATTAGAGAAAGATGCCTCCAAAAAAAGAACCCGAAGAAGAAATTACGGGTTATAACATCGAAATTTTATCCACGGAAGAACTGAAGCAATATGCTCGCCTTTTGGAGAGTGAGATCGAAGCATTGCGCAAACACTGTAGTTTTTTTCAGGCGGCAGAGGATGCAGTTGCTGAACACCTAAGAATCGGTGAGGAAAAGAAGAAAAGTCTTTTGGCTAAAGATGTAGAACTAGAAAAATTACGGCTAAAAGCTTGTCAGAAGTTATCTGAAAAAAGACAATGGCCTCCCTACGAAAATGTGGCAAACGAACAGAAGCAAAATCGTCGTTCTTCTGCTACACGGGCTCTGTTATTGAAAGAAGAACAACGCCATGCAGAAGAAGAAGCGCACTTAAAATGCCTGTTGCGTGAGAAAAATCAGCATCTTGAGGCATCACTTACAACTGCTCAGATGGCAAGAAATGAAACAAAAAAAAGAATTGACAGAAGTTTACAAGAAATGAATAGTCGTCAAAGGGAGTTATTCGAAAATTCTGTTTCCACATTTGTGAAAGTTATGATGGAAGGTAGCCGTGAATTTCAAATCTCTATAGAGGAGCTAGAAAAGGAAGCTGCCGAAGGTAGAATTCAAGGGCAAAAAGCATTCACTGATGCCTGTGAGAATTTCAGGAATGAACTTCTTGGGTACTACAAGAATATTACTAAACAAGACTTACAAGTTATTAAAAAGCTTCAAGAAGAAATTTCGGATCTTAAGACAGTCTTACAAAATTATAAAACTTTTCTTCTTGATATACAACTTCAAAATGCAGAAATCAGTCAAATAAAGGTACAACCAGAAGTTTTCCGTAGAAAAGTGTATAACCAGTCAACTAAAATAATATCAGATTTGGAGAGACAGAAAAAAATAGAACAAATGGCATATGAAAATCAACTTCTGGAGGAAAAAATACAAATTATGATGAAGAAATCAGATGAACTGCGAAGTCATTTCACACTCACTTTGAAACAAATTCGTCAAAACGCAGAAATGAAAGCCATAATTCTCGAAGAAAAATTAGCTTCTATTCTGAATTAAGAGAAAAATATTTCTGAATTCAGGCTGGAATGAAAATGTGAGAAAATACTCATGACAAAACTATGAATATAAAAAATTCCTTAAATTATTTACCTTAGTTTGTTTCTTCAGAGATATATTCAAAATGCTTTTTTCAAATGCTTACCAAAAACGGTACTCTTCTGTTATCAGGACAGGATTCAGAAATGTATGTATGTATGCATATATTTATAAATGTGTATGCTCATGTGTGCATGTGTCTGTACGTATGCATGTGTGTGTATACTCACACACACACACATCTACGCGCAAGTACGCATATACATTTTTGAACAACATGCATACATTTCTGAACAACATGCATACATTTCTGAACAACATGCATACATTTCTGAACAACATGCATACATTTCTGAATCCTGTCCCGTTAATAGAAGAGTACCCCAAAAAAGTATTTTTCCCTTCGACTTTTTGTCATGAGAAAATTTTCGTCGTACTTTCTGACGCAAAAGATTTCTATCATATTAAATTCCTTTTTCCTAAACTAGCATAGGATCAAGGAAGGGTTCAATTACGAGGCTCATAGGCTTAATGCCTTTATTCCCACATCATGCTTTCTTACCTCCATGCTTTCTTACTTCTTCACCAGCATATAGCTTTGATAGCACCATCCCAGTGGTATTATCAATGGACTCCGCACTTTCCGACGGTTTTGGTACTTTTATGTTAATAGACTTTTGATGGAAGTCAGTAGCTGGATTTCACGTGTTTCTCTAACTGTCTTAATGCTGTTAACTACTGACAGTAGATGTAGGAAATTTTAATTTTCTCCTTCTTTTTATGAGCAAGAATAATTTCAATTTTAGTGCTATTTTTCAGTTCGTCTTCGTGAAAAATTTCTTTAATAATAAGATAATTTCTTTAATAATACAATAAATCATTATGAAGCATGCGTAAAGCACCTCGGCTAGCATTTTATGACAACGGACTCATTAGCTATCACTCTCTCATCCCTACGGTCTCGATCGCTAGTCTATGATATTTTTGGGTAATAAATTTTCAAAAGATGCAAAAATAACGTAAAGAGTTGATTTATTCCATATATTCTCATTTGTAAAAGATGAAATATTATACCCATACTCCAAAGTGGAATAGTATATAATTTTAAAATAATTATTGATATGCAAAATAAAAAATAATTTGCTCTGGTCTTGTTCTCTGTGTGAGATAAAATGTTTCTGTTTAATTATTGTTTATGACATCCATTAGATTAAGGAAAAACTATTTATTTAGTATTGTAAGATTCTTCTGACTTTCCCTCTTTATCCAGCTTTCATAAATTCATCAGAGCATTTTAACCGTCACTGTACTCATTAGTATTTATACTGAAAATACAAAATTCCTGTCTTGAAGACATATATGAGATGACCGCTCCTAAAGTGATCAATATCTCTACGAACTTGAACAAACACTAGTCTGAATTTTATTTCATTAAGATGACTACCAGCACTGTGCGCGGTTATCTTAGAAAGGCTTATAATTTTTCTTCATGCTTAGTCCCCTTCTTTTAAAACCACAATTCGTCACTCTTTCAGATATAATATATGTTTCTAGTGGTGGTTAAAGGATTAAAAGAATATGTTTTTAAAGAAACGTATAAGTGACCGGTGACCATATTGTGTAATTGTTCCTCGTATTTTCCTGGAACTGCACTACGGGGTGAACCCAAATGAATCACTCAATGTCAAGCAAGGGCCGCGAGCTCGCAGAGCTCAATGCACCATGCAGGGCGCGGAGCGAAGACATGAAAAACGACTGCTCGTCACTCGGAGGGCCGAAGCCACTGGCCCTACTGAACAGTAGAGATTGCCCCTTCAAGCATCAGGTATCAGGTCCGTGTGTTTTGGGAACCGAGGTTACCTACGTAATGATCCTAGCCAGCACCAGGGGGGAGAAGTGACCGGTGACCGAACCTATAAAATTTTTCTTTGAAATTTTGTTTCTTACAATAAAATCACAAGACTGACTGATTTCAGTTAAAATGAGCTCTCACAATATTTTAGACATGAATTGAGATGCAGAGCAATGAGGCTGGGCGATGCCAAGAGGAGGTAGCTCAATGGTTAAGAACTGTCTTGAGTGGTGCTATTTAGGTTATGGCAACAATTTCAAGCTATGGAAATCATCACCAGGAGCATCGTCCAAATCTGGTTGTAGAGTCATCAGTTTTTTTTGGGGGGGGGAAGTGAAATGACAATACGTGAAAATGTGCAATGCCCTCACCGGGACTCGAACCCTGGACCTCTCGAATACGCGTCGAGTATGCTTCCAATTACACCCCGAAGGCATGAGGAAAGGAGGGATAAAATACTTTGTATGGTAGTGGAGGTCAAGCTTCGTCTTATCCAAGCTGTAGATGTCCTGGGAAGGGACCTCTAGTGTCATGACAAATAAACGATGTGGTGGTGTAATAAACAATAACTCCTTCGTCTAAACCTAGGCCTATCAGTGGTGGAGTGGTTAATACTACTGTAAGTTGGACCTGGGTTCAATTTAAGGCGTACAGACTGACTGAGTTGTTTTATCCTATATGTAACGGGAATAAAAGCCCATTTATACTAGGAAGTCCTCCAAGAAAGTATCCATGACCTTAAGCAGATAGCCTTAGTGTGTTCTGTATGCATATAACGCAACCTAAAATACAGCACTACGTTAGACTCGCTCCTTACTATGATAAAAAATGTTGGTTGTCTTTGGTTTGGGACATGTAATCTTTAAAGACGAAGTGATGTTAGATATTTTTGGAAATATATGAGTCCATTTTGAAGGCATTCTTGTAATATTATGAATTATTTTATTTTCTTTTTAGCATATTGTTTGAACAACCTTACCTTTTGTTTTTAGTTATCATAAATTAACAAATAAGGTATAGTTTGAAATTGGTTAAAATTATTGTACGCTCAATATGACTGAAAAAAAAAAAATAAATTACTGATCTTTAACTTGAAGGCATGTTGTAACACAATTTTTGTTTCAAATAAAATCATGTTTGGAAAGTAAAACTACTCCATTACAACGCGAGCCGCATATGACTTCCGAGTCTCAGTTTAACCATGTCTGATGTATACATTAGGCATATGGCACATAATTATAAAAAAATATTTGTTTCTAAGAATCATAATATTCCTATCATTCCCTGACGTTCTTAATTTATTATAAGAAAGCATTATGAAAATTATTTCAATTTTTGAAATTTTCACCTCTTATTTTTAACAGTAGCTCTCTTGAAAGGTTACTTTTATTTTTCATTAACTAATTATCTATGGTTTGCATCCTTATTGTCACTTCTCTTTTCCGTTTCTTCATCAGGATGCAAATTACACTGAGTATTTAAACTGAGATTGTTAGATTCTAAGACAGGGTGCATTTCTGCGTCTTGAGGCCGTGTTCCTAGGTTTTGGTAGCTCAAATTAAGATTGCATTGTTCGGCTTTACATTATAAAGCCGACATTTCAATTGTTACGCTGGTGAGAAGTTTGAACCAACTTCGAGTTAAATCGATTGTGTAACCTTCAGTTAGATCGATTGTGTAACTAGATTTAGTTTGTAATATTGACTTATAGAGTCATTAGGTTACTTTGAAGCAGGAGACATTTAAAATGAGCAATGCCGTCGTCGGGACTCGAACCTGGACCTGTCGAGCATGCGCCGAGTGTGCTACCGTTATACCACGAAGCCATGCTAGAAGAAGGGAGAAAACACTTTATATTCGTCCCCTTTTAAAGGGACTTTTTACTGGTGGTTAGGGAATCCAATCTCCAAATCCTGATGGTGATGAATTCTTGTCCACCACCTTTTAGTTTGGGTGCCACTGAGTCATTAGGTTATTTTGAAGCAGGAGATGTTTAAAATGAGCAATGCCCTCGCCCGGACTTGGACCTGGATCTCTGGAAAGCGCGCCGAGTGTGCTACCATTACAGCAGAAAGGAAGGAGAAAATACGAGCCTCGTACCTTATTGACTTTGACCGTTCTTTTAAGTTACATCTCTTGGCTGTTCCTGTTAAGCATGAGACATGCATTTATGTTCACAGTTCAGATTTAATAAAAAGATTTTTTAAGCCTTCTCGCTGTTCTGTCCAGACGTAGTGATAATTCACTTAACTTCTGTTAGGAGTTTGATTTTAGCTTATGCTAACAAAACAAGTCGAACTTTATACTATTTTTGGCTTATATAATTTGCCACTTCAGCGACATATCTCAGTGGAGTGTCAAACATTTAGTACATATATACTTCTATATCAATTTCTATCCATAAAATGAAACTTCTCGCTTTTCATAAGCAGCTCATAACAAATTTTATATCACGTTTGAAAAAATGTACTCAAATATATCTGTTCTGCTTACCACTTTGCAACACTTTAGTGAACTGTATGGAACCATATTACATTTATGTGCAGTTACACTGTTTTGACTTTGTTAGCTTTCTTTATGATATGGTTACTTTTATTCATTTATGTGTGCAATCTCTTGTTTTATGTTTATTGTCTCCATCTTTAAAATACATTGAATTTACATTCTCTTTAACAGTTGTTCTCAGACATTATAGCCCCATTCACGTCTTTCACCATTGCCAGATCATCCCTTCTTCTTTCCAAAATTTGAAAAATACATACATGCATACATTTATATTTAGATTAATTTCTAATGCGACGTATAAATTAAACAAAAAAATGTAGAAAATGTTGGTAAATACTAAAACCTGAATAAAAGTAGTTTTTTTATATTCATAAAATAAAATTAGACACAGCTAAATAAAACACTGACCGCATCCTGCTGTCAGCCTTTTATTAGCTGTTAAGTGGCGAGTTTCACAGTTTCAGCAATTCAACTGAACTCTTTTGGTTGGAAACTTCTGCTCTGTACCTGATTACATATTCCTTATGAAAATAAATAGCAAAGCATAACATTTCAGAAGCAGCTATGGAATGGTTACTATGTGGAAGGCTAATCAAATACTGTATTTTTAAATATATTATGTTCAAGTACCGTATTTACCGGCGTATAAGATGCACCCTCCTTATTTGTACACATTTTTGAAGGATAAAACTTTATGACTGATTTTTATAATGAATTTATAGTATTTTGAATATAAAGTAATACAAATACAAAGTAATACTTTTTGGGAATACCCAGTCTATCAGGGAAAGAACGCCTTTTAATCCCCTTCGTCAAAACACAGACACTAATATCCAGAGCTAAATGAAGAGTCACTTGAAACCTCTTCTAAATCAGCATCTGAGTCCTCATACAACAAATTGTCCACTGTACCCATCTGATGCATTACTAATGCCACACTTCTTAAATGATTTAACCAGCATCCCATGAAACTTTGACCCATTTACAAACAACGTATCGATGCAATAAGTATCGTCTATAAGACGCACCCTGTTTATCAGGCCTATTTCAAAGAAAAAAGTTCGTCTTATACGCCGGAAAATACGGTATACATTGTAGTTATATTGAAATCTGAGTATTAAATAATATTTTCACACACATGGGCACCTATTTTCTAAACCAAGGAAATACTTTTCTCATGGCAATTTTGGGAAAGTTGGGCTTTCTTAGCGAACTCCGTACCGGTCATAGGGTTAAAATGTTTCTCAAGTGAGATGAAATTACTTATGCTGCAGTTTGGTAATGTTTTCATCTCGGTGATACCGTTCAGTGAAAATTTTACATCTTACCCCATTTGGCACAGATTTCGCACACTAAAATCGTCTTTTCTTTTCTCCTCTTCCTCTGAAGGCATTTCCTCTAAAACAGCCTTTTTTGTTGTTCCTTCTAAAACTTTTAAAATCATTTTTTGTTACCTCACTTTAATGGTCTTCTAGTAAATCCTAAATATCTTCTCGATTAACTTCCAAATGCATGATTTTGCAAAACACAACATCATAGATAACAAAAGAACTCCTAAGTATCAAATCTTTCAAAATTTCTGCCTGTAACATTATGTTGCTATGATTTGCTGCGGGCCGAACTCAGGTCAGTTCGGCCCGCAGCAAATCATTTGTAAGCAAATGTAAGTCATTTGGTGTCAGTCTTTGTAAGATTTAGGAGAAGGAACTTATTGTTTTGAAATGTTTTCTGGAGAAGGGCCGGAGTTCGAATCTTGGAGAAGGCATGGATACTTGTAAATGTTATAGTGTCTGTGCGGCATTGAAGGTACTCTAAATATGCAGCGAGCTGAACGTTCTTTCAAGAGGTTGGTGGTATAATAATCATTGAAGTAACAGATCGACTTACAGCCGGAAAGTACTGATCCAGCTGGCTAGACGGGGGAATTCTGAATTTGAATAAATAGTTGGAAGAGACATTTTTTTTATTTACTGGGTGGGTGAATTCTAATTTGTAGAAAATGAAGGATTTAAACCTCAAAGATATGGATTAAACTATGATACGATTAGTAAGTGCAAGAACTAGTAAAAAATTCAAATGTGTCAAGGAAGTGCAAAAAAATAGGAAAACAAGAGACTTTGAAACCGCTTTTCTAGAAATGTTTCAAGGTATGTTTTGTTTCTAGAGCTATTTTGATTGCAAAGTCATTAGAATCTGCTAAAAACATTTTAGGCCACCTGATGGATGGCTCACAAGATGGAAAACGAGAACTAATTTTGTTTATCGGAAACTACATGAGGAAATGCAAGTGACAGATTTTCATGCAGCTGAGAAGTGGAAAAAAGACGTTTTACCCAGTCTTCTAAAAGAATACCAGCAACACGAAATTTATAACAGAAGTGAAACTGTTCTATTTAAGCCAGCTGCTGTTCCACTTTTAAACATTAAACATTACGTGCTCCGTACCGCTGTGTAAGAAATGGGGAAAAAACGGATTTTTGTATTATTAACATTCAATAGAGAAGCAATAATTATGAAGACGCCATTTGTTATTTTAAAAATAGAAAACCTCAAAAGGAGGTAGGGATTTATATTTTATTTACCATAATAACAAGAACTCGTGGATGACAAGCAGTAGTTTTAATGATTTCCTTTGAAATGGGACTGCTGAGAGTCAGTGGCTTAGCTAGAAATGTTGGGCCCCTATGCAAAAAATTTCCCTCCGCTCCCCAATAAATTTACTGTGCTTAAAAAAAGCAGGGGGAAGAAAATCTAGATTTGCGGAGATTTTTAAATAAAATCTTGTAGGTTTTATATGCAAATATATTTTGAGTTTCTATATAAAATCCGAGCCACTCCAGTTTTTTTTTTTGATTAATTTAGCGAGCTAGTAAATAACTGGTTATGTTATAAACTGACAGACAACATGATATGTAAACGTACAAAAAAGTAATTACACTAATATATAGCACTCTGTGATCAACTCAGCTTACGAACATGACTTATGCAATAATATAAAAGTCATAAATACGAACTTTTATAATGTAAATGATACATTTCTTAAATATAAAACATATTTATCATAAATTTCATAAAGAAACCTATTTGAACATACAATTTTTGTAGAATATATGGGAAGTGTTTTCCCTCTTTCGTTTCAGAAAACATTTTGGTACACCAAACTACTCGAACACACGATTTTTATTAGTGTTTTTAAGTTTAAACGTGTAAACGTAGTTCAGCAGGACATCCATGGGCCCTGTAAGCTTTCGGACCCCTATGCGATGGCATTCCTTGCATACCCTTCAGGCAATCAACATCAGTACGAAGATGCGCATTTCTGTCTCAAAGTCCTGCTTCCTTTCTGATATTCTAAACATAAAATTAAAAAATGCTGTGATGCCAAAGCGGGGAAACAACTTTAAGATAAAAGTACCGTTGGAAATCAATTTTTAAGGTAGAACTGTGGAGTTGCTCTCGACATCTCCTTCCACTTATTATGGTGGGTAAATTATTACACATATACTTAATAAGGACACTAAAATAATATACTTAGTACAGTTATGCCAGAAACTAGTAAACAATGTAAAGAAGTACTGTCTGTCTACGAAAAGAAAAGCTCCCGCCACAGTGTTTGGCGGATGGCGGTCGCTATAGCAATAGGGCTAGTATATCTCAAATAGGGGCGAACCAAGGGTTGCTTTATTGTTATTTTGTTTTGGGCGATTGTTGGCTGAGGGGAAAAGAGTTTATCATTCGTCTTCAAGACACCCCTATGGAAAATGGGTCAAGGCTCGTTTCTACGGCAACAGACAGCTGCAGACTAACTGGCGAGAGCTTTTCTTATGATAGACAGACTGTACTACCACATTCAGTTTCAATATCTGGATATTATTCGACAGCAGCCTTGACACCATATGAGGGAGAAATCGCATGAGTATAATACAGTGCAACCCACATCCTTATCCAGATTGTCCTCCCCAAGGCAGTTCTCCGAACTTCACCCAGGTGTAACCCACCCGGATACGAATGTGAATCTTAGAAAACATTTCCCCTTCATTTTAAGACGGAACATTTTTCATTTACAAAAGGAAAGCTACCTAGTGTATACGCAAGAAGGTTAAAATAACTCCCTTGGGTATAAAAGATTTATAATCGCGGGCTGGAAAATTATACAGGAATAATCTCGGAGTGTCGGGCATTTAACGTTTCCCAAAGTACATGAAATCGGAAGTATGTGTTGAAATGCGTTGGCATCATTTATGACATACAACAAACAAAATTTTTCCTCTGTTCTGTAATAAAGTTTTCCCGGAAATTGCAGTTATGGTGTTTTAACTTTAACAAAATTAATATTATTTATACTAAAGCATTAAGTTATATATTATTCGCTCCTTAAACATGTCATCATTCTTTCGATGTGTTTTTGGACCTCGAATTTACAAATTGTACAGAAACTCTGAGAGACAGGTGATGTTTTGAGGAATAATTTTTTTTGTTTTTCTTCGAATAAAAAGTTCTTAGAGCTAGTTTTATAAATTTAATTTACAAGAGGAGTTTGTATTATAATTTTAAAGCTTAAAATAACAGTAATTAAATGAAATATCGAGTAAATTATTCAAGTTTCAGGAAATGTTTCTGCAATTAGAACCCTAATAATTAATTGTCGTATGTTGAAAATGATATGCAAATACATTTTTTTCTTTCTTTTACTTGAAATTTTAAACTGTATAATCTTTTGAACCGTGTTTCATTAATTTAAGCAGTTATTACCCTCAAACTGAAATACGATTTGTCTTAATAGGGAAGAGATTATGAAGCTAATGCTCTGGAACACTACAGTGATAATATTGTTCGGACTGCCGTATTTTCAGTAAGTACTCAGAAGTATTTTAATAGTAAATATTTTATGTGAAATGACCAAAATGATCTTATGAGTATGTTGTGATGTCATGTCGTGTCCATTATTTGCTCAAAATTACATTGTTGGCAACAATTTTGTTAACAACCTTTGATGAAAAAATATGTTATTACTTGAAAAGTACTCATGCTAGTCCTGGTCATAACAAAATAAAAAATTCAAACTACCATTGTCTTGTTCAGTTGAAACAATACTGGATTAATTTTCAGTTTGATTGGCAAGTTTTGGCATAACTTTCATTTAGTGATAGTTATAAAAGCAATAATCAGTGGAAAGTCATAGCTTCAGTTTTGAATGAGAAAATTCATCACCAGTATTACTGAAGTGTTACCAGTAATTGCAAAAAGCCATTTATTTGCCCTTAAGTGAATCAAAGTTGAATAGTTGAACGTATGTAATCTAAAGACTCAGAAGGGCTTTATTCAATGCATACAGAAGAAAGTTCAATATAATGGCATTAATGACAAGGCCTACGAATTGTTAACTCATGTAAATCCACTGGAGTTTATGGTTCTCGATGTCAGATTGGACTTTGAATGTGAGGAAAACCGACCTATGCACAACTGCTCTTTGTGCCATCGCTTTGGAAACCATTAATACTCGCTATCCTCCTGATGATATATATCCTTCATATTTACACTGATGGTTCCTTTTTGGATTTCATCCAGGGCACTGATGCTGTTGTCTTTTGTGATCTGTTTTCCTTTTGCCTACATGTTAGCTCTCATACAATCCATTTTGATGTTGAGGCTATATGTTAAGCTCTTCAACAGCTCTGTGCCTGTCTCTCTTCTCGTGGACTCGTGAGCCGAGTGATTCACTGCTCAGGTGTCAAAGCTATAATTTTATCGGGCTCAAGTACTGCTCTTCAGGCCTAGCAAGTAACCTAGGAAAACAAAAGTGTTCGTGTCCAGAGCTGCTGGGAGCTGTTGAGCAGAATTCAGACAAAGGTTGTGAATAGTTGAACGTATGTAATCTAAAGACTCAGAAGGGCTTTATTCAATGCATACAGGAGAACGTTCAATATAATGGCATTAACGACAAGGCCTACGAATTGTTAACTCGTGTAAATCCACTGGAGTTTATGGTTCTCGATGTCAGATTGGACTTGACTTTGAATGTGAAGGAAACCGACCTATGCACCAGTGGGCATTCCAGTGGGTACTATAACATTGTGTGTGGCCTTTGGGGGAAATGAGATGGCAGACCTTTTAGCAAAAAACAATATGGATATTCTGTTCCAGAGACCTTTCCCTTCACTCTGTTAAACTTTAAATCAATAGGATTTATAAAAAATCCTTTCGTAATGCTGCTGTTAATGCTACTGAAAGTAAGTCATGGAGCCGATTAAAAGCTAACTTTGTCTCGGACTGTCCTAGTGCTACTGTTGTAGCTGAGTTTTAGACTATTGACTGGACATAACTGTCTTGGTGCTGATTTGTTTCTTTTTAATCTGACTTTCTCACTTTTAAGTGCTCTGTGTGATTCTGGACAAGTCATGAATGCTGCTCATCTGGGCATGTGCTCTGCACTTAAGAGTTTGGACTGTATTGCAAAGAAGTATTGGATAGCTCTTAGCCTAATGACCTGATGGTCAATGGTCAGGCATTTGATAAATAATAAATAAATGGCTAATCTTTGGAATATGGTAACAGGTAGTTTGGCGACATTTTTGGTAAGGTGATAAAGCTTACTATCTACTTCTTTAGCAGTGTACATGGAAGTCAAGAGTGTGCGCAATGCCATTTTTGTGCAATTCTGGGATATTTTTTTAAGTGAAAATAGGTCGACGTGTACATAGATACCTTGTATGTGCAATTCTTAAAAACGCGGCAAGCAGTTTGCGATTCTGCACTTTCTCCCAATTTCGCACCTAATCTTCATCATGATTAAGCGCTTTTGTTCCATAAAAGTTCTAGCATAAGCGTAATTCGTCTAGCAGATTGTTGAAAAAAAAATGCTGAGCGGGGAAAAAAAAAAAAAAAAAAGTGCCTTTACTTCATGAAAACAAAAGGGTGTCCAAACAAAAACTAGCAGGTTGCTGTAGCAGGTAGCCAAATTTTCGCCAAAAAAATCGCCAAATTACCATAATCCAAAGATTAACCAAATAAATAGTTGAATAGAAATTCATGTGAGGTACTCATCTATTATCAGGACTGCAATCAGAAATGTGTGTATATATGCTTGTATGTATGGGCATATGTATATGTGTGTGTACACATACACACATACATACATTTCTAACATTACGCACAATACATAATTTCTGAATCTAGTCCCGATAACAGAATAATACCACTCTTTTGATTGAAGGTCATCTAATTGTTTTTTTTTTTTTTTTTTTTCTTGTAACCAATTAGCAGTGAAAAATAGCTTCCTCGACTGACATTTTTTTTTTGCCACGATGTCATTTACTACGCATGTTGAATTTTTAATTCAAAACGTTTGTGTTGTCACATTATTATGGACTGTGAATTTGTGCTTGATGTCAAAAAAATTTACAGCTACATGGCAATTTTTTTACCTTCTACTAATTTAATGCTTTTTTTTTTTTTTTTAGATTTCGTATCAACAAAACTTGTTTTTATGTTTATGGTATAAATTTCACTTGAGCTTTTAATTAACAGTTTTACTATTTTGCATTACTTTGATAAGAAATTTTAATTAAATAAAATATTTTGTAGCTATCAGTAGCATGGTCTTTAGGATTATATTCTTCTCCATTATTGGCTAGCATAATGTACAGGAAAGGTAAGTGTACTTTTTCATTTTCTATGTGTTGACTCTAAAATACTTTTAAAAAAGCATGTTTACCAAATTGAAAACAAACATATATGAATATTGTTTAATTTAATTTGTAAAATTAGTTATGAATTCTTTTTACAAGTTTCTTGAATTTCTTATTCTTTCTTTAATAATGCTGAGGAAAATAAAATATGTTTTAATGGTGCATTAAATAAATAAATTTTTTACTTAAACCAAATATGGAGTTTGGGAAGAATGTAATGACTGATAAGACTAGTAAAAACTCATGTTAAATTCACAAGTCAGTGTTTTTCAGTTATTTTAAAATTATTTTTTCACTTTTTTTTTATATTCTTTAGATTGAAATACATATTTTATTTTTAAAATAAATATTTTCAGAATGAGGTAAGCAAAAAAAAAAAAAAAAAAAAAAAAAAAAAAAAAAAAAGAGTGGAAAAGCAGAATAAATTTCTGTCCTGGAGATTAATTTATGTATTTACAAATATTGATGGATTGTATCAATTAAAATTAACATACAATAAAATCTACCTGAATATTATCAAGCTATTAAAGATGAAGCTTCTAAGCCCGAATATTAATTATTTTTTTTGATTATGCCCCCATATGTATTATTATTATATGTTGCATTGCTTCAGCCAACAGTCGCCAAAAATAAAATAACAATAAAGCAACCCTTGGTTCGTCCCTATTTAAAATATCCCTGTTGCTATTGCGACCACCACTCGCCAGACACTGTGGCGGGAGCTTTTCTTGCTGTAGACAGAAAGTACAAAATTTTATGTATTTACAAATATTGATGAATTGTATCAATTAAAATTAACATACAATAAAATCTACCTGAATATTATCAAGCTATTAAAGATGAAGCTTCTAAGCCCAAATATTAATTATTTTTTTTGATTATGCCCCCATGTGTATTATTATTATATGTTGCATTGCTTCAGCCAACAGTCGCCAAAAATAAAATAACAATAAAGCAACCCTTGCTTTGTCGATATTTAAAATATCCCTGTTGCTATTGCGACCGCCACTCGCCAGACACTGTGGCGGGAGCTTTTCTTGCTGTAGACAGAAAGTACAAAATTTTATGTATTTACAAATATTGATGAATTGTATCAATTAAAATTAACATACAATAAAATCTACCTGAATATTATCAAGCTATTAAAGATGAAGCTTCTAAGCCCGAATATTAATTATTTTTTTTGATTATGCCCCCATATGTATTATTATTATATGTTGCATTGCTTCAGCCAACAGTCGCCAAAAATAAAATAACAATAAAGCAACCCTTGGTTCGTCCCTATTTAAAATATCCCTGTTGCTATTGCGACCACCACTCGCCAGACACTGTGGCGGGAGCTTTTCTTGCTGTAGACAGAAAGTACAAAATTTTACAATTTTACAACCTTATACAGTCAAAAGTCGTTAATTCGGACACCCATAATCCAGAATGATCTATAATCCAGACCTCAAATCTACAAACTTTCTGCGCATGCATCGCGTTGACGCATGCACGTAACACCTTTATGGCTGCGAATATGCATGTGAGCATGCGCGTAATACGTTTACGCTTGTGCGTTTAATGTATAACGGATGGTATAAGCTAAGCTAAAATTATCTAATTCAGTTAATGTTGCAGATTGCGTTGTTCATTAATCTTCGAATTGGATCTGGCTTATTATTTTTTTGCAGACTGTTGGAGCAATTTTATAAAAGTAAGCTTGAACTTTCGATTATGTCAAATAGAATTTCCGATATATGTTTACTAATATGTAAAGGATCTACAAAGCGAAAGTATGTTTCGAAGTCCATTAAACAAACAGTGGAATTGCTACAAAAAATGGATAAAGGCATATCCTATGTTTATTTAACCATTCCGAAATATGTTTATCAATTTCACGCTGCTCTGCGGCGGGAGAGGGGGGACGCATCGGCATGCGATGAATTGGAAGTTGATCTGTCAGCACTATCCTTATCTTCAGGGCAGATGTTTTTATTTTATTTGGCTTATAATTCCTTACTAAATGTAGTATTTCATTTCGATGTACTCTGTCTTTGATATGATTTAAATCAAATTCCTCGTCATTATAATTCGCTTCCGATAGCGAAGAAAGTGACACAGATGTTATTGAAAACGAAAAAATTTCAATTGACAAATTAGTCGGTATTCTCGACACAGCAATTATAGGACTTGAACAGCGGAACTTTGTAACTGAAGAAGAAATTTGTCTGTTTATAGAATTAAGGAGAAAGTATTATCACATTAAAAACGAAGCAACTTAAACAACTTACATTGAAAGAAATGTTTAATAAAGTAAACAAATAAATATTAAGCTTTTTTTTTTTTTTTTTTTTTTTTTTTTTTGTAAATTTTGATACCCTTTAGATCATAATTGTTCTTTATTTCATAAATTACGGTTTCATATTTTTAATTTTATAATTTCTGCATGCCGTCTTACCAGATTTAAACTGATGATCTATAATCCGGAATCGCCGAAGTCCCGACGAGTCCGGATAAACGACTTTTGACTGTACTGTATAGAATACAACAATAATCAATTTACAATACAAAATTTTATACGCAATGCAACAAGTTTTATAATCATGAGCTAACATAATTAATTAACTTTAGAAGTTTTCTCCTAGGGTAATAATATCGCAATTTTTGTAATTCCGCGCGTAATTATGCCTCTTGCTGTTCAAATTTTTTTTATTCTAACCTTACTGTCAACTCCAGGAAAAAGTCTTGTAATGTGCCATAACATCCATCTATTTACAGGAAGCTCATCTTCCTTAAATATTACTAGCATCCCAATTTCAATTTGTCATTCATTCTACATTCCATTTTTGAACACTGTTATAGTGTGGTTAAGTAGTCTCTGTGCCAATGATTCCATATCAGTTGTACAATTGTTTGTTTCCATCTTGAGAGTCTGTTTTCGTGTATATCAATTAATTCGGGTACTACCATAGCATTCAAAGGTCTTCCAATGAGAAAATGGCCTGGTGTTAAGGGCTCTAGATCATTTACATCGAAAGATAATGTAGTAAATGGATGAGAAAGCAAAACAGACTATGTAACCCTCTGGAGCGTTACGGGTTTAGCCCTGAAATTTCAAAGTTCCTCAAAATGTCATGTATAAGTGATATTTTCTTGATTTTAATTAAAAAATGACTCTTTCATTTTGTACCTTGATTCCTTTTCTTCCAATATACATCCAAACTGAAATCAGATACATTAAAAGTTAGAACGGAATTTTCCGGCCGTAACGCTGAGAGGATTAAGTCGGTACAGTTAATAATGCCTCAAACATTAGCCTCGCAATACCTACAGTTCGCTTTAAGTGATATTTCACAGATTTAATACCGAATTCCCATAGCCCGCAAAAATTAGGTACCTGAGGAGGAATAAACTTCAAATGATTCCTTCTTCACTTAAATAATTTGCTAATTTTTCATCATAATATCTAATTAAATTCACTCTGCAATTCGGAATTTGCACTAATGAAGTTTTTTGTATTGGCTGAAAAAATGACTGAGCATTTTCTGCATTAAGCAATAAATCTCCTTAAGGTGGCAATAAAGGGCATCTGTGGTAAAATAGTTCACTAGTTTGAGGTGCACATCCTTTGTTACAAAACATATAAAAAATGCTAATTATAACCTTATGGAGAGTTCCTTTCCTCTGTTCCTTGTACCTAATACAAAATGGATCACAAAAATTGGTGCTGACATTTAGGGTGCACGCTGGGATTTATGTGCTGTGCAGGTATTGATCCCATAATTTGTTCGATAGTGACTGCTTTATTTTTTACTTCAAGTTAGACATTCATAGGTAATCTTCCTAGTTAAATTTCTACCTTGTAATGTGCATGGGCGTTTTTGTGATTTCCATGTGTGGCGTGTATATGAGCCAGTTTCCTTTATAAAGTCCTCCACGAAGGCATCTCTTTAGTTAGGCAGATAGCCCTCTACGTTTGCCATAATCACATACACGACACCACCACTTACCTTGTAATGGCCAAAATTTCTGCCTCATGAAACACACTAATGCTTGCAACTCTATGTATAAATATTTCCGATGATAATGTTCAGCAATAATTTAGTTAATTTACATTTAACAGGCAGAATTATGTGATGTTTTTGTGAAAACTAGACTGGTCTCTGATCGCCCTCCTACTGTTATTACATTATTTGCATAAAAAAAAAAAAAAAAAAAAAAAAAAAAAAAAAAGAAGGGTTCAAAAAGAGTAAATGATTTTACAATATGATGAAGAAAAGAGAAATTATTAACCCTCTGAGTTTTATGAGTGTCTTTATCTGGTCATGAGAAGTTTTGCTACTTGGTATATATTAGCTTATAATTTAGGATATTTTGCTTCCGTACTTTCTTTAATAATGTAAATATCATCTTAATGAATATAAGTTTATGAAAATGCAGACTAAAATAAGTAATTATACAAACTCAATTAACAGATGCTGTTTAAATACCAATCTTCATGACAAATAAAAAATCCTGCACCGCTCAGAGGGTTAATGGATTTAGCTTATGCAAGGGAGTTGTAATCTAAATTAAAATTACATTTTTGAACCTCTCTTACAAGGAAGGATTCTTCCTCATTTAACTCTTTTGAACATATGTATCCTGTTCTTCTCTGTGTTCCTTTCTGTTTTGTACACTTAGTGTTCTAAAGGAACCTGAAAATAGAATTAATAATGCATAATCATTTTGAGTAAGTGTTAAGGAGATTAAAGATATAATAAATTTTGAAGGTGAAGTGCATAAACAAGCAAAGTCAGTTCTTTTTCTCAGTTCACTGGAAAATTTGTCCATTTTTTCTAACTATTTAATGTTCTTGTTAGGTATGACACCTTCACTCAAGAATGGATAACCCTTCCACCAGAAATCAGCATCATGGATTTTCTTCTGAATGCGCATAATTCCATTGGCAGTCTGCGTCAGTTCTGGGGTTTTTAGCACCAGGGCTTTGAGTAGGAGTCATGGAGTTGGAATCGGAGTTAGGCAGAT